GAGATATCTATTTGGAATTTAAGACAACTATTGAGAGTGCCGTATTATTCCATGCAACTGGTCCAACAGATTATATTAAGCTTAGTATTATTGGTGGTAATAAATTACAATTTCAATATCAAGCAGGCAGTGGACCATTAGGTGTGAATGTTGGCACAAGTTATCATCTCAATGACAATAAATGGCATACAGTTAGCGTTGAACGTAATAGGTATATACAGTAACTTACACTCAAAATTTTAAAAATATTAATATTACTTTAATTTATAGAAAAGAAGCTCGTCTCGTCGTTGACGGTTCTATAAAAGCTGAAGTGCGTGAACCACCAGGTCCTGTACGTGCACTTCATTTAACATCAGACTTAGTTGTCGGTGCTAATACTGAGTACCGTGATGGTTATGTTGGTTGTATACGTGCTTTATTGCTGAATGGTAAAATGGTAGATCTTAAGGAATATGCAAAACGTGGTCTTTATGGTGTTACAGCAGATTGTGTTGGACGCTGTGAATCAAGTCCTTGCTTAAATAATGGTACCTGTATTGAACGTTATGATGGATATAATTGCGATTGTCGTTGGAGTGCATTCAAAGGACGCATTTGCGCTGATGGTAAACATATAGTTAAGCATTTATAGTAAGAGTTATTCAGTTTAAATTTTTTAATTTAGAAATTGGTGTCAACTTGCGGTCCAGTTCGATTATACGTTATGAATTTGAAGGATCTTTCCGTTCCACAATTGCTGAAAATATTCGTGTTGGATTTACTACAACAATCCCAAAAGGTTTCTTGCTAGGTTTTTCATCTAATTTAACAGGCGAATATTTGACTATACAAATATCTAACTCAGGTTTGTGTTTACTTAATACTAAATTAATGAAATGTTTTTTTTATTTGCGATATATTTAAATATGGATTGCCTAATATGATTTTATTATTTCTTATTTAGGTCATTTACGTTGCATTTTTGATTTTGGCTTTGAACGTCAAGAAATTATTTTCCCCAAGAAACATTTTGGCTTGGGACAATATCACGATGTACGTTTTTCACGTAAAAACAGTGGCTCTACAGTGGTACTTGAAGTAGACAACTATGAGCCACAAGAATATCATTTTGATATAAAGGCATCAGCTGACGCACAATTCAATAACATTCAATATATGTACATTGGTAAAAATGAATCTATGACTGATGGCTTTGTAGGTTGTGTATCACGTGTACAGTTTGATGATATATATCCACTGAAGCTCATGTTCCAACAAAATCCACCATCAAATGTTAAATCACTTGGAAGTAAGTGGTATTAGTTTCATATGAAAAATTTGTTATTTTATTGTATTTTTCTTTAGCACAATTAACTGAAGACTTCTGCGGTGTTGAGCCAGTAACTCATCCGCCTATCGATATAGAAACCAGACCGCCTCCATTAGTGGATGAGGAAAAACTAAGAAAGGCTTATAATGAAGTGGATGCAGTACTGTTAGGATGTAAGTAGCTTTTTAAATTCTTTATAAGAAAAAATAATCTTCTAGGTGTCTTCGTTTGTAATAATAATGCCCCATTGTAAGTATATAAGTATATATATTATGTTATATACTATTACTTTATGTACGATAGTTGAAAAAATCACATGGAACAAAGAGTAAAGGTTAAATTTTAAATAATTTTTAAATTGTGTAAAAAAGAAGTGTAGAATCATGCGAAATGCTAAAAAAACTGTATGGTAATGAGACTGCCATGGGTTTGGCCTATTTTGTAACCACTTACAGTGAACAAAACATGGAGAAAGTCAAAAAAGGTATTCGAACAATTGCTGTGTGTTGCGAAACTTATCATATATGAAATTAGGATAATGAGTAGAACAGCCTATTGAATTTTGACAAAGATGTAATAATAATGCCGAAGGCCACCGAAGGAGATAAAAGAACAAAAATGCTGACAGAACAAAAATTCGACCGTATTCAAAGGGAATTGTTCACAATGAATTCGTACCAGAAAGTGCAACGCAGAATATTATCTGGGAACTCTACTACTTCTATATGTATCAACATTTTATGATCCAAAATAATGAAAGGCAGACAGTTGGTTTTTATTGTGAAATAATACGTTATCGTACAAAGCCCTCAGTGCATCATTCTTATCAGTCATTCATCATATTAAATTTATTTAGCTTCATGTGACTTCTAAATTGAATTTGACGATGATCTTCAAATGATATATTAAAAGTAATTTTAGCCGATAGGTTTGAGAAATTCGTTGAACGATTCAAGAGCTGTGTTGCTTTGGAAGGGGATAATTTTGAATAAAAAAAGGATAAAAGATGAAAAGAATGAACACTTTGTATATTTTAAGACTTGTTTCATCGGATAAGACCTACCATATATATAAATGTTTGAGACCATGTTTGCAACGAAAAAACGGTTCTTGATAGACTTTTATCAGAAATCTCTAAAAATGAGATTCTTGAGATCTTATGCTATTCATGTTCATCTCATGTAGATCTCTCTACTTTTTCGTGCAGAATTCTCTATGTGTTTTACGTGATTACCTGCCTGCAACGGCTTAACATCACGTTACTCAAAAGCAAACGTCTTGATACAAAGCGTCAATAAACGCCCTCTTGGAATTAACTTCCGCAGGTTCCAATGAAGAAATGTGTATAGGTCATAACTTCCATCTTGGTTTAATGCGAAGCCTACCTACAACCTCTGCTACAATGTGGGCTGTAGCACCCGGTGGTGAAACCGCAACTCCACGGCGAATGTGAACCAAAATTGAACATTCTTCCCGCGTAAGTTTGGGTATCAACCACAACCACCACGAAGCCATCACCAATGGTCAGAACAACCGAAGCTGCGGGCCACTGACCCCCGTGGTACCAGATCGGATCATCGGAATTTTAGTTGCCTTCTACGACAAGGATATCTACTGCGGGAATATTCTAAATCCTTTAGTACCCGCAGGGGGTACTTTTTCGTGCAGCAAGAACTGTCTTTATTCAATTGAGGTCAGAATATAACCATTGGACAGACTGTTTTTTCCCATGATTTATCCTAATTACTGCTCGCTGTACTTTACATGTTCTTCCGTTTTTATGTTCCAATAATTATACTTAATTAATTCATGTTGATTCGTTTCATCAGAGCTACAAGCTTCCTGTAAATTTTATATAGAATATTTATTTTATATTTATGTCTATTACTAACATGTTCTATTGATAACAGTTTTTTTTTATAAAAATTAACAATCAAATTAATATATATTTATATATATTTTTCATTTCAAAATTATAATAATATATATATATTTTTTTTTAGGTTTGCTTGTTATATTGTTCCTGTTACTTTGTCTTATGGGCTTCCTTATTGGTAGATATCTGCATAGACATAAAGGAAATTATCTGACACATGAAGATAATGGTGCTGATGGCGCAGATGATCCTGATGAGGCTGTCATGCATTCAACAACAGGTCACCAAGTGACTAAACGAAAAGAGTGGTTCATATAGTTCGGTTTGCAAGAAGTAGTCGACTGGACTGCTTAAAGAGACATAGAGCAATCGTCACCTACACCAAACTAAAACAAGTACACAAACGATAACACAATTGTTAAAAATCAGAAGTTAAACGAAAGATACATTTTGAAAACGAAATACTGGAAGCGACTATAGGCATAAAGCAAAAACCAAAATCAAATTCTAAAAAGAAAAGAACACAAATCTTCATATATAAGAGTTTGTACTTTATGTTCTTCACACTGCCAATTTTTTGCGCAATTTTTCTTTTTCATATTCGAAATCAAAATTGTATATTAAAAATGATTTTTTTTTTATCCGTCACTTTTAGTTTACTTACCATTTTGCTTTGTTATCTTTTGTTTAATTTAATTTTTTTCATTAGTTTATTGTAAAATTAAAATAACCATATTTTCGTCAATAGTCAGTTAATTTAGAATATAGCCTATAATTTTGACACCGTCCATTATATTTTATTATTAATTCTAATTTAGTTTAATTTTAATTTTTTATTAAACTTTTACTTTATATTTTAGTCGGAAAATATTAACTTTAAATGCATGATTTTGGAATGCATAATTTTTTTTATCGTTACAATGTTTACAAATTTTAATTTAATTGTAAATTAAATTCATTCAAAATTATATGCTTTAATGCTTAAAAGCGCAGCCTAAAAAATCTGCAATCTTAAATTTGATTTTAATTCAAATATCTTACATTCCATTAAATCTTGTATAAATTAAATTATACTTTTTTCATAAGAATAATAATTTGTTAAAAAAAACTTATACGTATAAAAAGAGCGCTATTATAGAGTTTATATATAACAAAAAATTAATTAATAGATATGTATAAAAGTAAAATCGTTTCTTATATTAAAATAAACGAAATTTATAAATTTATAAATTTATTATATATAAAAAATAAATTTATATTTGTAATAATTTTTTATTATAAAACGAAATAAATTTTAATTAATACACACAAATATTTGAAGTTATTTATATTATTGATTCTCGATATTAATAACGTAACATTTTCGGACAGCCAACCTGCTATTAAATCTCAGTATTATTTTTCGATATTAGTAATTTTGGTACAGCCACATTCAACTAGAATTCTTTCAATAAATTGGTTCGGTTTATCAGTGCCTAACTTATATAGGTACTGGTGCACAAGCGCATCACGGGTAACAGCAGAGCTGATGAACTTGTCATAACCAGCACGCTGCTCTATGAAATTCACTACCCTGATATTGATGTCATACCTGTTATGGCAAAGGTGGCCATTAAACGAAAATATCTACCGATAACTAGGTAAAATGAGTAACTAGGGTAGATGAAAATTTTTGATAGACTTCAGGATTTACATTGTTTACAATAATCTATAATGTTATCGCGTTTGTAGTTATACAGGGGTGAAACTGTGTTTCACTCTATATCTAAGCGCTCGTTTTTAGATAGTAAAACACCAAAATACTTTGACAGTTCTTCTCTTACTGGCAATGATATAACTGTTAACCTTTAAAATTAGAGATATAGTCAAGTTTTGTGTGTACTCCGCATGTATCAAAGGGATTGCGTATAGTATTACTTACCATATTATGAAATTGTTTAGTTTTTCTCACTGTTAGTGGGTGCCCGAGAACTCTACATGATCTAATTTATATTTCACTGAACTTTCCACGGAAATAATCATAATCCGTGATACCACAATAGGCCATTATTTCTGCAGAAGACGACTGAGTGTGTCAAGGTCATTACTCTAATTAAGTTTGCTTCTAAATAATTAATTATTTATAACAAAATATTTTACAGATGTTCGTACAATTAATTACTTGCTTAAGTGTTTATTTAGTTTAAAAATTAAAAAAAAAATATATGAACGCCCAGTCGAAGCTATTTTGAATATTATGAGGATATTTTGTTATAAAGTGCTGCTAACCCTGCAACAAAAAGTGCTAGGAAGTAGCATAACAAAAAAAACTAATAAAATACAAACTGAAGAATCAAAATTTTGCAAAAACCTAAAACTTTATTCTGAATTTGAAATCATTTTTAAATTCAGGTTTTTAATCCTATAACAGCTATGAAACACCACTTTTACAAAAAAAGTGCTTTACTGGAAGTTATATATAATCCTTTATATTGCTGTTTAATAGCATTATTTATTTATCCTTGCATATTATATAAATGAAACAATAAAATTAAAATAGTGTTTATGTTAATATATGTCTCTACAAAGATAATTATCATCGCTTTTTCATCTAGAGGCTTATGTTACTGACCAAATAGAGGATAAAAGAACTTCATATTAAATGTCTCAGTGATCAACATTTAATTATTATTGGAATTTAATAAAAAACGTTGTCTCTCATTAACGCGTATTCATCATTTCTAGTTATTCTATTTTAAAAAAATTTTTATGAAGATTATATTTCCACGAATCTTTAGTTAACAATTCACAAAAATAAAGATTACTGTTAATGTAACTTTTAAAAAATATTTAACCTTATATTATAATAAAGAAATTTGTTTTGTATATGCATAAATTTCTAGAAGCGAAATAAACATTCAATGGAATCTTTTACTTATATCTGCAATAAGTAAAAAAAAAATATATTTGAGTTTTTCGATGATTCTATTCGTTTTTCGGAATATCTGCGAGATATGTTCATATGGCAGTTATTAGTGTTGCATTCGATGACAGTAATTTTTTATCAAAGATTATTTTTGAGATGTTGGAGTTGCGTCCTTGTGCTCAAAGCCCACTTAAGCTTCAATAATGGCCAGTTGTAGTACCACAGGATTAGCATTTATACACATAACATACGCTGGGTAAAGGTCAGCGTACAAGCAACGTGAAAAGCCACGACTTCCCCATGAGATAAAAATGAACCAACCTGATAAGCCTATAAACTTGTTTAAGTCGCTTATTTAGTAAGAAAACAGTTTTGTGAAGTCGGTTAGAAAAAGGGGCGCCGAAGATTTTAGATCTTCTTATAGCTAAAAATAGACACTAACACATGAGGTGGAGCACAATTGCTGCCTTATCTGTAGAGCCACAACTTCGACAAAAGTTATTATTAGGTACACCCAGTTTCATAGCATGTCTTCCTATTACGCAGTGAACCGTCTGCAGCAATACGATAGTACTGAACAAGTCACTCTTAATGTGAAACAGCTTGACTGTATCAGGTTTTTTGTCTATTTAGATAAAGGCAATGAGAGATCTGATAAAGGGTTTTGACTTGAGCAAAGCCAAATTTTTCGTTTAACTGCAGCATACACTATTGCTAGTGAAACCACCAATTATCTGAGAAGCCGACTATAACAGGAAACAGAAGTGCTCCTTGTCAAGCTCGCCTGCTTACAGTTGTCCGGATATTCCTGTTTACGGAACCACGTCTTATAGATAGCGAATATTAAGGGATACCGATTATGTTTGATTTATTGAAATGGCTCGGTGCCCTACCGGAATTAAAATACATCATGACTGTTCGAACGCGATAGTGCATTAGGGATGTCCCGCTTGTCTTTAGGGCTGTAATGGAAAGTGAATTTGTTAATCTGTAGATTATTGAAAATTACAATTTGAATTTGTTTGTGAGTGCGATACCACCTTGTGCGCCGACATCACTTTAAAATTCGAAACAGATTGATATAAAATATACCTGAGTTCGACTAATGATTAGATAAGATTTTCACTAAATTCTTCTTGGTTATTTTGGAGCTTCCTATATTTGCGAAGATCTAAGAGATTAAGAGATTCGAATAACGGCGTCGGAATTTTACGTCTACTGCTGATGATTGGATGGTATTCCATAAATTTATTAGAATAATCTATTTGCACTTGAATTAAAATCTTGTATTTTAATTACTTGTTAAATATTTTCGATATTGCTCTTCACTCATTCTTAACTATTTGTAGACTTTTCCTTATTCAGTTTTAAATGAAGTAGCATTGTTTTAATTTTATTTTTAAATGAAATATCATTGTTTAAATTTCATTTCGATATTTCTTCAAATATTTGCTTTAATTGTAGTGACAAAATCAAAATCTTTTTGTAAACCTTAAACATTTCGACGTAATATAAAGTAACTTCTTGACAGTGTTGACTGCAATTTCTCATTTTGTTTACAAATTCTTTGACATCAAATTTCTAAACAATAAAGGTTCATAAAATTCAATTTGTTTGCTTTTCATTTCGAATACCTAAAATACTCTTAATGTCTATGCAGTTGAAAAACATAATGCTTTGAAATGTACTTTTTTATATAAATGAATTCAATTGAATTCTTTAATATCCTTCGAAGATGTTTTGTATCTTTGTAGTTTGCTAAATAAAAGTTCAGAGTAATAACTATGATTACTGAAAAACACTGATGAAAATATTTAAATCCCTACAAAGTAACATATTTTTGTACTGTTAAAGAGTCAACATTATCATTGATTGTCAGAGATGTCTTTCATTTGTTTATTGACAGCAAATTAAACGAAAGTTCCTATATGGATTGAAATTTAAACTTTTAACATTTAAATTTTCCGAACTCCATTGGCCTTCAAAACACCTCTACAAGCTCAACCCAAATCCAATCAAATACTACAAACTAAATTCAGATACTTATGTATGTATTCATCCACTTTTGAATTGGATAATGAGATTGCATCGTAAAAAAGTCATCAACAAAGTTTTCCTGTTTATGTAGTTTTTGTTTTCGGAATTTATTTACACAGACTGAACATTTAGAAAATATTTTCTATAAAAAATGGACACTTTCACGTTAAATCAATTTTCTTTAATTTCTGTTCATGTTTCTCCAATCTGAACTTTAACATTGCAACTAAAATGTAACTTAATCAATAGAACGAAATCAATTGAAATTATCTTCGTAATTTTTCACTTGATTTGAACTATTTTATTTATAAAATTAGTTATAAAAATGTGGCATCATGTTTACTAAAGAAAATTATTATATACTCTATTTAATATATATGTATATATAATATAATTCAATATAATATATATATACATTATAATATATATATAATATAATATATATATAAAGGCAAATAAAGTTTTACTGTTACTCTTCTTGATTATCGTAAAAGTATACCTTATTCTGCTTTACAATATTGCTCACAAATTCGTATTTTTCGCTTTCCATTATAGGTTTTAATGATTGGAATAGCTTGAGTTTTATTTTATTATTTTCTAACTAATTTTCTTGGACCTCTACTGCTGCATTGCTAGGCATGCAAACGATTATTGAGTTATCACTCTTTTCAAACTTCCGTCAAGGAGACCATGTCGATATGATTAATTCTTTATTTTTAGATGCTATATCTCTTTTCATACCCTAACATCAGTGGTTCCTAACCTTTTTTGAACCACTTCTGTTGCATTTGGTTCATCTTGAAATAGCCATACAATCATACAGTCGACTGCTGTTTACTTTCCGCTTTATACGCGTATATCCATCATTCGTCACCTGTGTTACAATCTTATGTCTTTTGTATGTCTTTTGAAGTAGCGCCATTGTACTTCTTGAGCATTTGTGAGCACCAAACGACACGTGCATCTTATTAAGATTTTGTCAAATGATGGGGGAACCAATGAGAACAAACCTTTTTCACGTCTAAATGATCGTGCAATATTTTATATACTCGTATGCTGGTAGAACTTATGCCTAGGGTTGCTTCAGCATCAATGTTTTCTGGGACAATAACTGAACAACTCATTTTGGTCGACCTTCACTAATTTCATTAAGGTCAGTGAGTGAACTGTGGTTACGATTAAAATCACTGTACCATCGTTTCACTGTACCAATGTGGAAGTAAGTTGATCAATGCACTCTTGCCTTGATAATCCACTTCAAAACTCGAGTTAATTCCATTTTTTCGCGTCTCAAAAGATTGAGACCGGTCGACCTAATCCAATAACAACAATACTGCGCAGTACAGAAAACGGAAAAATTAAGGTGTTGATCCTAATTATTCTACACATCCCAACAATCAAATGTAAAAAAGTACTAAATGTCTAATCGCAGACGAATGTATATAATTTTGGGAGAGAAAACAAAAAAAATGTGTTGAAAAGTTCAATCGAATTTGCAGACGTAGTTTTATATCAAGCTTACAAAAAAGACACAAATTAATCTTTAGAGGAAGGCTGTAGATGAAAAATTGAAGTCGTAAGGTTAAACCAAATCATCGGCTGCTCCACGCAAAGACAGGAAACGGTTCACTATTGTCTTCGGCCTCACTAGTATTAAAGAACCTAACAAAGCATATATTTCAAAAGTAATATTGCCTAAGACAGTATGAAAACAACAAATACTTATGAAACAGCAACACTTAAGACAATTGAGTATTCAATCTTGATTAACTTGAACCGTGTGAAAAGCATATAACATTGTTGTTAATAAAATATTATCATGAATTTAATCAAGATTGGAAATGATGCCATGAAACATGAAATACATTGGACACTAAAATAAAGTATATTTAAATGGTAAGATATTAAAATATTAATTTAATTAATACATTTTTTGAATCCATCTAAAAAAATGAAATAGAAATCGAAAAATATTAATTCTATAAATATAGTGCAGGCTACATTATAAGAAAAAAATTATTTTAAAATTGTTATAATATTTTGTTTTATTTTTTTAAATTATTTACTAATTTGTAATAATTAACAATTATCTCTAAGGGTACTAAGTGACTATTAATACATGTATAATAAACAAAAAAAAAATAATTTTTGATAATATACATTTTAACATTCGTTACAAAAATCGTTAATTTTTATTCGTTTTTTTCCAAAAGTTAAATTTTGAAAATTATTTCGTTCAAGTCTTTTAAATATTAGAAATATGTTCTTTGTTATATTGAGGAACAAAATTTATAATGAATATAAGTACATATATATATATATGTGCTACAAAACCTTGTATGAATCTATATTATAAATACCTTGTGAATAAGGAGTTATTATTGAACAAAACACTATTTAAATAAAATTATTTAAAGTCGAACATTACAAAAAAGCTATTTTAAATAAATATATAATGAATTAAATAATAAATATAAAAAGAAATAAATAGTAATAAAATACAAGAAGTTAATTGAATTCCTGTTTATACAGCTAAAATTTGATAAAAATAATTATATTATTAAATTTCATTTTTATGTAGCTGTAGTTTATGTCTTTAATTCATATAAAGTAAAGCAAATTACTCTGTTAGTGAAATAACAACAACAATATTATTTAAGTACGAGGTTTACTAAGGTATCTGAATCGTAAATATGTGTTGCAAATTTGGTTAAGCTTAAGTTAAGCATTTGGTACTTGCAATTTAAAACTTATATCATCATCATCATTATCAATTCCTGTATCTTCCATTGAAGCATAGGGCCTCAAAACTTATATGCGAATCATTAATTACAAAAAATAATAACAAAAAATCTTATAATCAACCATAATTTAATTAACTTCAAATAAAAAATAATTTTGATGTATTATTATTTGGAAATTTCTATTAAAAAACCCTATTTAATTATTTATAAATGTTTTAAGTTTTATTTCAATACTTAATGAACAACATAGCTCCTACTCTTGGTCACGCTTGCTGCATACAAGCGATTAAACCATCCAAAGTAAAAAGACATAAGACCTCACATTGGGACACAGTCAAAAAAAGTTTTTTTTAATAATTCAATAATTTAAAGTTTAATATAAAAACTATACTTGAACTAATTTTTCAAATATTGTAGACAGTAAAAAAAATTATATAATGTGGAATTTTATGAAAAAAAAATATTAATATACTTGTAAATAATCATTTTTTGAGTTCAGTTGCTTTATATCATTAAATGTTATTCATTTACTTAATCAGTAATATTGTGTATATGAATGTAACTCTATGGTATAATAATAATGAACTACTAAGCATAAAGTACCTAATGTACTAAAATATCTTTGGAGTTTCTACAATCTAATTATTTCATAAGTTTGTATTTAATACTTTTTAATAATGCAAATGCATTTTAACATATTCTATCATATTTTTTTAAGTATCTAATGTATTAGAAGTATTTTTGAACTGTATATTAAATAAATATTTTGATTTAAATCTTAACATGTATGAGCTATATTTTATATAAAAACTATATTTTCTGTTTTTATTTTTATATATATTTATATATATATCAATCTGATCATTTATTGGAAGATTTCAACTGGAAACAAATCCATATAATAAAAGTGGGATATGTTTTTTTTTTGACATTTTCAGAAATGTTTGAATGCACTTCTCTATTTTATATTTTATATTTGATATTTAATTTTTATGTATGAAAGCTATTACATTTAACTTTCATTTTATATAATTTGAGCATGAATATTTCTATTTGTTCTAATGCATTTGATTTTATTTTAAATGATTTTTGCATAACTTAAATAAATCAAAACAGAAAACCATTAGAATATTAAACTACACTAATATTATATACTACACATTTTAAAATTATTACACATTACACAATTACTATATTAAATTAAAATGTTTTATTTATATTGAAAAAATAAATATAAACTAAGATTACTTAACTAAAATTAAAATCTTAAAAAGTATTAAAAGCCAACCCAACCGTCAAAAACTGAAGCACACAATTTTAAATAAGAAAAAATCACTCATACGCCATGCGTCACCAACAAACAGATTTGCTTTGAAGGTACACACATTCACACAAACACACGCATGCATTCACTCCCATTGCACTGCTTAAACATTTAATTTCTTTAAACGTTCATACCACGTTTTATATCCTTTATTTACATGCATCATACTAAATACTTCGTTTCCTTTATTGTAGTTGTGATTATTGTTATTTTTATTGTGCATAAAACTTGCATTGTCATTCAAGTGTTTCGTTTGTTGCAGATATTGAAAAATTCGCTCTCACAAAATCGTACAGACTACGAACAATGTAAGGACGAAGAAGCACATAGCCACAATATCCTTGTGCAGACTGCGATCCTGATAGAAAGGTCGTGTTGTGTAGGATTCTTTGCGTGTCTGTCGAAATAGCCACAATGGTATAACCAGCTGTAGTATGTCTGGCACCATAAAGCCAATGTCACGTACAATTTGATGTGCATATCCTTCACCGCGTAGGACATTCATGAAAAATTGATCGAAGCTACTGGCGGTAATGTGCAGTATGGCAATGCCAACAATGCAAAATATTTTCTTCGATGTAACTGTATTCGTTGAATTAGCCAAATGCATTACTAAAATTGATGATATCAGTTCGGTTATCTGGAAAAGAATTGATTAAGAAAATGAAAACATTTAAATAATATCGTTTAGCTTAGTAAAATAATAATAGTTTATGTGTATAGATTTTAAATATATTCTTCATATATATTCTTTATATATATTCTTAATCCACACGATTAAATAACCTTTCAGCAATACTATTCGTATTCGATTATAATTTAGTTATAAGTTTTAATAATTTTTTAATCTGTATATATTGTTCATATCCCCTGAAGATAAAGTCACCTTGTCGTGGTGTATGGGCTTTGTACGTGGCGAACCTTAGCACACCCTATGCGCCTGCCCAGCCGTGGCAAGATACAGGCTTAACTATCTAGGCAGTGGAGTTATGAGTCCCAAACACACAGTTAAAATACGACCCACAGTTCTCACAAAATTCTTCAAAAATTTAGAATAGGACAAAAAATATTTCAGGTCGCAGTGCATGTACATCCTATCCATAATAATAATACATATTCTTCATATTAAATTAAAAATTATTGCATGTTGTCAGAAGTTTACCTTCTCACAAAAAAAAAAATACCTTATATTCTTGTGTAAAGATAATTAAACACTTAGCAATCAGGATGTTTAATACTAAATCCTTAAAAATTCTAAAGTTGACAGTAATGATTAATGAAAACTTGCTCTATGGTTATTAGAAGATATTGATAGTAAGTTGTAGGTACCAAAACAGCCTGTTTTATGGAAAGATGAGAATAATTAAGTTTTTGAGTGCATACTGTGAGTGTAATACTACAATTTTGGAGACATGCTCGGTATTTTAAAACTACTTTGTCATGATTAATGAAACAGATAATGACTTCTATTCCTATTCTAGCAATATTGAATAGACCATTGAGGATGGAAGACCTACAAATTTAATGTTTACATAAACTTTCGTTTTACAAAATACTGATATGCAAAGTACTGTCGAATTTAATTTTCTTATGTCAGGTTGGGTTAGATTGACAACTTTACATACTAATACTTACGTGAATATAAATAATCGCTAGTTGAGGTAGTATTGATAAAACAATGATTCTAAAGTGATTTGTGTACAGATAACGTATAAAACAATAGTCACCACGCGACCAAACATGACTGGTAAAAATGGCACCAATTTGACAAGTCTATAATTTTCGCTAAGGCCCTAACATCGAATAATAACAGGTCCGTCATGTCGGTGAGAAAGGGGCCAACAAATATATTGAATTACCTACAGGCCAAAGATAAGGATTTCCACATAAGATGAAACACAGTTTATTTCTCCTTACCAGAATCTTTACCATGGCACAAGTCATTACGTATTAGATATTATTAATACATTATTAATACATTAATTATATATGGAATATAATAAAATCAGACCAGGTTCAAATCTTTGACTATAAATAGAATTTCTAAATATAGAAATTGTTTGATATATGACAAATCCGACGAATATGAATATTCAAATAAAAAATAAATCGAATATTAGCACTATATAGTTTGTATAGTTTGAACTATCCAAATATCCGTTTTGCATCAAATAATTCGAATTTGAACTGTTTGCGTATCCGGATATCCGTTTTGCATCAAGTAGTTCGAATAGTTTCAATCATTCGAATATCCGAATGTATGTTTTGAAATTTAAATTTTCTATTAAAATATTTTATTTTTTTAATATGCATTGTACGTGCTTTACAGACTCACGTGATAAAAACTTTTTCGGGCTACAATCCTGACATATGATAAATTAACATAAGCTGTCATAATATCCTCCTAATATTTTCAATGCAATAAATATCTAAACGTTGTATGTTACTATAAATCGTTGCATTTTTCGTTGAAATGAAAACGTCAGAAAGCCAAATGGTTTACGAGGCTGAAAGCAATGCAGGTAACATGTAAAAATATTTACAAATTTTAGGCAAAGCGAAAATTTTAATTAAAAAAAAAGTATTTAAAAAGCAAAAACAAAAGTATTACACTGCTGTATTGCAAATGAATGAGCATTATTAAATTCCTGATAGAGGGTGCATAAGCCACCTTCAGTCGTATAGAGTATTTAATATGGCTGACTGGTGGTTGAATGGTACTCTATATGCATAAATAGTTTCACTAACTTACCGTAAAGAATAACTGATGGTTCCATTGCAGATAGTAGTCGTCATTATAGTAGTTGATGTACGCCCACCATGCATAGTAATGTGAGAATATCGATAGCGAGAACAACAACAACATCGAGTAGCGGATACGTTGCTGCATTATCAATGCAATTAAACGTTTGATGCATTCATAGAGCGCGATTACAGCGAATACCGTCAGCATCCACATTTTAAATGAATTTTGTGTCGCGTTAAAGTAAAAATGTTTGTATGAAGCCACTCCCGACTCGTAGGGTCCTTTGAAAACGGTGTCCCAACATGAGCACGTACAAAAATTTTTGTCGACATAGCGTGCATAATTTTCCCAGAAATACCAAAGCACCGCGATGTGTGCGGGGGGGATGAGTGCTGGCGCTAAACTGCCACATGCCGCAGGTAACCATTTTGTGTCGAACATTTTTATTTGTTTTAGATTTTGAGATACTTTATCGCTTGGATTTCTTTATTGTTGTTTTTTAAGTCTTCACTTCTCTCCTTGATTTGTTGTTGCCGATTTTATGTGGGCTACTACTGTTTCAATTTCCTGTTGACGACTTCATCAGCAGCAATTGATTTTTGATATTTGAGAATATGAATTTTTGTATTGTCAATATTTATTTCAGTTGAGTTTCAGCGCTTGCAATACATTTGAAACATCTGAAAAACATATTAAAAATCAATGTAAACATGTTAGCAATATAGTTGAATATAATATATTTTTAATGTCATGAATTTTTATTGGAGGAAAAGTACAATTAAAGCACTCTTAAGCGAACATCGGTAGAATCAGCAGTTCTGCTTTGTTAAAAAATAGGCCCATTTGAGAGAATTTTGTATGGAAAATAAATACTGTTGAAAAAGTACAGTGCAAGCACTCTTAAGCGAACACCGGTAGAATCTGCAATTCTGGAAGAGAACTACAGTAACAGCTCTCTTAAACAAATAGTAATTGGATCAGCACTGTTTGAAAAATGAAAACTGGAGGAAAAGTACAGTACAAGCGCTTTTAAGCGAACATCGGTAGAATCTACAATTCTAGAGTAGAATTACAGTAAAAACTCTCTTAAACAAGCACTCGTTGAATCAGCATTTTTGTACAGTTAAAAAATATGTCCATTTGAAAGAGCACTGTTTGAAAAATGAAAACTGGAGGAAAAGTACAGTAAAAGCTCTTTTAAGCGAACATCGTTAGAATCTGCAATTCTGGAGTAGAATTACAGTAAAAGTTCTCTTAAACAAACACTGGTTGAATCAGTATTTTTGTAGAGTTAAAAAAAAGGTCAATTTGAAAGAGCACTGAGTACAGTAAAAGTTCTTCTAAGCGAACATCGGTAAAACCAACAGTTCTGCTCAGTTAAAAAATCGACTCATTTAAAACAACTTTTTATGAAAAATGAAAACTCGGAACTAACAAATTTGGCTGATTAATATATAATTAAATTTATAATAGCTTCTGTTTAACAGAGCTTTCACTGTATATATTTAAAGTAACTTACCATGAATTTTACGAATTTTTATTCACAAAAACTTTACTGGCACATTTTGTTTTTGATGGTTAAAATTGTGAAAGGTTATCGTTTTGCAGATAATCAAGATACCTAAATTGTGGAAATAAGAGAATTACTTACATTAGACCGAAAAGCTTTCGGAAATTCTCATTTAAAATTCGCGCGCTGTATATTTTCCGATATTTTAAGTTTATGTAGTTTGGCAGCACTGTCCTTAATTACTATGCCAAAAATGAGCGCGATCTGTCAGACAGTTCGTTTACGGCAGCTGTTGAAACCAGTTCACCTCAGTAGGGCGTTGCGAAAAAAACAATGGAAAAAAATATTGAACAAAGAGTTTGCATCAAATTTTGTGTTTCGAACGAAATTTCGTGTGCAGAATCGTTGCGAATGCTACAAAAGGCTTATGGGGAATCAGTTTTATCGAAAACTCAAGTTTATGAGTGGTACAAAGCCTTCCAGGACGGTCGTACGACCGTCGAAGACATTTCGCAACGCACTACTGAGGTGAACTGGTTTCAACAGCTGCCGTAAACGAACTGTCTGACAGATCGAGCTCATTTTTGGCATAGTAATTAAGGACAGTGCTGCCAAACTACATAAACTTAAAATATCGAAAAATATACAGCGCGCGAATTTTAAATGAGAATTTTCTGAAACTTTTCAGTCTTAATGTAATTAAAATAAATGAAAAAACGAATTTACAATGAAATTTAATATTTTATTTGCAATTATTAATTTTTATATAATTATGACAAACTTTTATCATTTCGATGGAAATAATTGGGGTAAAAGAAGTTGCAGCACATATTGAAACGTGGTTGGAATCTAAATTGAATGCTTTAAAGATATTTATAAATTTATTTTCCGTAACGATATAATATATAGAGTAATGCATAGAATTAGAAGTTAAAATGTGTTTCGGTTCATTGTACTATAATAAATTTCTTGTGTCAACAATTGACCCTAACCATAAAGAAAATCTTGAATGTACATAGCAATGTTTGTCGTTAAGGATTTCTTATACTCCGATAGAAAATGTAGCTACCAACCGGTTATTCTACTTCTAGTCCGATAGTATATCAACCTCCGAGAGTAAGAAAATGTGACTAGGAGTGTCATCGTCTATATGCTATGCAGAGTCAACTTTCTGTAATCCTAGGTAGACCCATATTTGTTAAGATGGAAATGGCGATTAAAAAGATTGGTCAGATAATCTGCCAGCTATGTAAGCTTTGCTTTGTAGGCTATAGTAAATATTTTTGAAAATTTATGTCATACAGTTGTTATAGGTTAGTACAGAATACATTGAAGATGGTCTACAAAGTAGACCAAAATATCTATAATACAAATAATTTTTTATAAAAATCAATATACAATTAAATATATAACACAAATTTATAAGTGTAATTTTTAAATTTTAAATTAAGGACTTAAGCCCAGTAATAATTTAAAAAAACTTAGTACAGAATATAAATAATCCTTAGATTTTTTTTGAAAATCAAACAGAAACTTATTTTATAAAATAAGTTACGGAAGATAAGAGTATGTATTCTATAGATATATCACTTCTTATATTGGGGAGGGAGATAGTCACCACCAATTTCATTTTGGAACAACATTTTGAAGCAAAATTACTTCAAAAAATACTTTTATCTTTTTTTAAAAAATTTCAGAAGTATTTCAGAAGGTTTCTTTTAATAAAAACTAAAACTAGAAAGGCAGAAATTAAAATATATAATGAATAAATAAATAAATAAATAATAATAACAAATAAATTTTATATTCATTTTGTAAGACAAAGAAGCTTTGAACACCGTCAAAATTAAATAATTATATTCTTTCAAAAGGGTTATAGTTTTATATTCTTAAGTGTATAAGTCATTCAATAAATTTGAAATGAAAAAGAAATGAAAAAAAAAACATCTGTTCAAGTTTTAAGTTAAGTTCCTTTAAGCTCAATAAACATAATTCAAGAAATCCTCAATTTATGAATTTCATCTCTGTATGGTTGTCCGGAAGGTAGACACTTTTTGTTAAAAATATATTAGATCCCTAACATATCCGCGATTTGAAGATAAGTAGTGAGACCTACGTAAACTATAATTGTGTTGTCTTTATAGAAGAATTTTCATTTCTAAAATTTTTAGATTTTTCCCCGATGTCACAATATCAACATTGAGCTAATGATAAATATCAACTAATGAATCTTGATACAATAATAACACTCATGAAAGTGTTAAGGCATAAATCGAATAAAATTTACCTTAACGCCTTAAACCTTTCCTTTATGTTTACCTAACCTTTCCGATCAGGAATGCATTTAAAAATAATAGGTTTTTAAAGTTTCTAAAGTTTTTTTATGATTATAGGTATGTTTCTATTAGATTTCTATAAATATTGAAGTAACTCTTCTTTGAAATTAATTTTAAAAAAATATTATTTTATCATCTAAGAAGTAATTTCTTCATTGTTTATGAATGTGAAAAATAAGTGATTTTTAAATTATTAC